CTAATTCTTTGCCTGTCCCTTAGTACTTCATTTGTCAATATGAGCCAAATTTCTGATATTGGATCCATTAAAAAAATAGAGAGATTGGTGCAGTTTGATATGTGTGAAGTCTGACTGAAAACAGAATATAATGAGACCATCATGTGTAAAACGCTGCTCCTCATCCAGTTACTTAAGGAGTTGGTTTATCAGAGTGCTGATTAGTGGCTTCTCTCTTAGGTTCTTGTTGGTAATCTGATGGAACTCTTCATTGATCTGTTGAAAAATGTAGAAAAGCAAATATAAAATGATATATTACAACACCATTCTAATTGATAAAAAACGCAATTTGTATACAGATGCACCTCTATTTTGAAAATAAAGACTTTATTATGTGTTCTTAGCTCTCAGTCACAAAACAGAGCAGACCCCCACCCCTGGACCTCTGACATCATGGGCCCCAACTCAGATATCTCCTCCTAGAGAATACATACTTTTGGTAAAAAGAAACTATATATCAGTATGGTTATGTGCCTTGGCTATGTTTGTCAATCATTTTGTTCCACAAAGTTCTATTAAAAAACCGAATAAAATAAAGAAACTTAGCAGTATGATGGATATTTCCACTGCCGATGCAGCTTTGCCTGTCTGTTATGAACCCTATGTAATTTAATTTTGGACCATAGTTGTGGAGGCTTATTTTTAGTGGTGTTAGGGGTCCACCAGGTGGCTACCTTCTGTTACTACTCACTGGAATACAGTCCACAGCAGTATACTGAGTACACTGTAACCTCTCTTTATCCTTCTCTTTTCCATGACCACACACTCCACACACACTCACACACACATATGTTCAGACACAGTCTTGTAAACAACACTCACCTTTACCTTTTAAACCCATCAATGCTGTTTATTCTGCCACCTCTCATTAAACTGGTTCGAACTACACGATTGGAGTGGCTCTTATCGTGGTTGTCTTTTAAAGTATGCCATCATTGACTCGCTTTAGCGTACAAAGACATAACCCAATCTTGTAAAATGGAGGAAACCAGCAAACCTTTCGACTCACGTTTGTTAAAGGTTGCTCAGTATAGCAGAGTAGAAAGCACAGACTCTTGGAGGAAAACAACAATTGCTTCTTTATTCAAATATAATGAATAGTAAATCTTAATCTGCAGATCTGTGGCATATCAATAACTATATTTAAAACAGAGACATCTGTGAACAGGTTTTTCTCTCCACTGAAAAGTATCACTACGCTTTCAGTCTGCTAAAAAGTAAAAAATCCCTTTGGCAAATTAGTTTTATCCATATTCACATTATTTCTTTTCACTCTGGACATACTTCTAGGACATACTTCTGGGATTATTTAGGGTCTCAACGTTTCGATAAACATTAGATTACCTTGCGGTTTCGGGGTGTATGACCACGACACTCAGTACAGACCACTGGTCAATCACTTTTTTGTACAGTGTGGGAAAAAATAAACACCTTATTTAGAATGTGAAGATGAAGACGGTGATTTTGGATCTAAGGAGGACCAGGAAGAATCAGCTTCTATACCCAGAGAGGTGTGAGTGACACAATGCCCACTCAGAGGCTCCTCAGCCCACATAAAGACATAAAGATACAGAACAGGCTTTTCAGGTCCCTCTGTGGTGTGTAACCCGCCTTCTGCTGGACAGCCAGACAGTGACCCAGAGCAGCTGACCACCGTGATGATGCAGCCCTGTGGGGGGAACTGCTCTGCTGTGGTCCAGCTCATGTGTGAAATGCTGCATGGAAATGAACATCAGGGGCCAAACCGAAGAGCCCCTACAATAGCGGTAGCAACAAAATTAATAAAGCGTTATGCAATTGTCAAAGTGGTCGAAATTTCATTCAGTTCATTTCAATGATCACAAATTAGATTGAAGCCTGGATTGCATTACAACACTCATGAGTAGCCTACTATATGCCATTATTTATCAGGTGGCAGAAAGATAAACTAAAGCTATTCTTCCTTAAATAACTTTCATTCTAGTCAGTACTGCCTACCAGAAAACCATTTTTAACCCTTTAAAGTCTGATCCAAGAAAAATGATTTAATAGATAATGATAAAAAATAATTCTAATATAATATGAATATTAGATAAATGAATAATTATATATATTCAGCAGGGTTATATAAATTATTTGGCTCTTTAACAAGAAAAAAACATCGTTTTTAATATCCGTATTATTACCGTGCATAAGTCAAAATATTGTCATTTAGTCTTCTGCCCACTGTTATCGGCTAGATCTGATTGTGTAAAACTGGATTTTAAGCAACGTTTTTTCCAATATGATGCAAAAGGTCTCAGACGTTTCAGAAACCGTGTTTCAGATATGATAGAAATTGTACTACAGGGAGAAACATTTGCACTAATAGAAAATATTGAATTGTCAAGCTCAGTCACTTTTAATGTGTTTTAAAGCTTCCAAACTTAAACAGGCTCTATTGAAAAAGATTTAGTCATTGAATTTTCCCTGATAGCATTTATCAAATCATTCAATAATTTTGGATGACAAAACATTTCATACGGTGGTGTGGATGACTAAAAAAATGAAACGCCCTTTCCAAATGTTTACGTGATTTATTATGTCATTTGAATTACTGTAAAGTGAACTCCTTTATTCATATTACTGTATATAATATAAACTGTATGCCATAGAATATGAAACGAGACTATTTAAAGGCTGTTAAATCCATATATATATATATATATATATATATTAACGTATATATGTATATATTTAAAGCTCTATTATCAAAGTTTTGCAATCAGACTTCTGTAGTTTATTTGCCCCAGGCGGAAATAAAATAAGTTTGTGTATATTTTACGCACCGAATGTGGAGTCTATCTAATTTAATCTAATCTAAATTTGTGTTTCTTATTTTTAAGATAGAAAATTATACTTTTTGAAAATCCTCTAAAATCGTCTGAGGGGATTGAAACTGAGCAGAGCGAACAGCAGAGGCTGGCTTTGGCCTGGACTCCACAGTGCTCTTTACGCCCAGAAAAACAGCTTTTGCTCGCACAAACCTTTTCCCCTCTCAGCCAGCCTGCTAACGGTGAGTGGAGGTGTTGGGGAGTGCCCCAAAAGGCGTTAGTAGCCCACCACGTCTGCCCAAAACTGAGGGAAATTTCCACCCAGGAAAGGGATCTGCTGATAATGTTTTGCAAGCTTGTTGCAGTGTTCCCAATTAAAGCGCGATCTGTTTGGGAGCACAACCCACAGGGTGGAGGCCCTCCAAAAATTTGAATTGCCGCAGCCTGCGGTCTGGGGAGAGGCCATTTCAGCAGAGAAACATCCCGAGCATGCATGAAAGCCAGGCCAAGTCGATTCTGAGTCTTGCAACTCGGGAGTATTGTGTAAAGGAGATTCGGGCTGTGACTTTCTGGATAAACTTTTGTGCGTAATGATTCAAACCCCAGTCCGGCTCCTTTAGAGGGGGCCCCCGTTTCCGTACACCTGACCCGCACCAAAGCGCTGTTTACAGGCCTGTGAAAAGCTTAACAAGGCCTTTTAGAGAGCTATTTCAGGTGTGAAAAAGCAGTGTTAAAAACCAGTAAAGAGCCTAAGACCTGCAGGTAAGGGGGCTAAGAGGACTGGAGTTGGACAGTCATGGGGGGTAGCCGACTTAGGAAAAACAACAGAAGTTAGCCATATCTACAACAAAAATAAATAAATGAAAAACAGAAAAAATATAATTTGATGCATAACTTACACGTAACGCTGAACTTTTGTTCTCTAGTTATGCTCTCTATTAATACACATTTGAAGGCTGAAAACGTGGAAACAGAAGAAAAAAACAAACAAAAACGGTGGAAACCTTTATGCCAAATACTGGTAATAATAATAATATCTTCAAAAGTAATTGCAGGCACTATTGAAGATATTATTATTACATGTACCCATGTTGACAAGTTGCTCCTCGGGGGTAAAAAGCGTAAAAACACCTTGAACGATGTTTATGTTCAAGCGCACAATGTTATTAACTGAAGGCGTTATTAAGTGGATATAATGAGCGCACAGCTCGTGCAGACTTACCTTTTTCTGTCTTAACTATAAAAAAAATCAATGGAAATACTTAATAAAACAATTTAAAATATATGTGAGTGCAAATACTTACAAATGTTCGATCAGTCCTTTTGCCTCTTGGCCCTTTAATCTCATTGGGTGACAATCATTTTGATAATTGTCGAACCTTTTCCACAGAAAGTCGGCTGGCTCCTCCATGAAGGCCTTTCACTGGCGAAAGTCCCCCAGTGAGCTCCGGTCCTCTTCTCAGAAGAGGCGTACCACTTTGTGAGAAGGCCACAAAAGTCTCCTTTGCGTTAAAGGCCCAGATTTAAACTCCATAAAACCGAAGCAATTTCCCTGATATGAAACGGATCCCAAAAAGTAGATGAAGTTGTGTTCACACTGAGGCGAGGACACAACCAGACAAGACGTTATTTACTAGCGATCGTTTACAAAATTACTTTTAATCTGCTCATAAAATCACTGTTGTAGCTCACAGTAGGCCTTTCAAATCAATCTAAACACTTAAGCCCACCTAAAGTACCCAGAGTTTCCCCATGCTGGAGCTGCACGCGCGGTAATGTGAGAATATGCCGGTTTTACATCCAAGTTGATCTGCGATTAACTTTATTTCAGCCATTCCTGCTGTAACATTAAACAACAACAAACGTTTTTCTTGAATTGAAAAAAAAAAAGAAATGCAAAAAGACTCGTAAAAAGAACAGAGCCACGTATTTGTCAGCCATCTTCTCCGCTACGCATAATAAATGTTGTGTAGGCCTTTGGTATAAAGTGATGTAATGATTGTTCGGGCTATTTCCAGTTCAGCTCTAGTGAGAGGAGACCTGCCTTAAGACCGAAAATAGGACCCAACTTTTCATCAGTGGATCACATGTAAGAGTGTAACATGAGGGGGAGAGACACCCAGAGGTGACGGAGAGCGGAAGCGAGAGAGAATAGAGGGGCGGGAGGTGGTTTTCAGGATATATCTATGCTAGACTGAGGCTTTTTCAGCCTCAAAGTCTTATCCTCTGCCAGTCCGGTTGCGTCTGCTGCGCAGAGCCGCCGCCCGCCGTCCGGAGTTTGAATTTACATTTGTTCAGTGCAGACCTTCAGTGAGAACGCTGTTTGGAAGGAAAGAGGTGAAAGGAGAGCGAGAGAGCGACAAAGAAAGAGAGAGAGAGGAAGAGGTCAAGAGAAACGGGGAGAAAAAGAGAGATCTCCGTCTTGTTTTGCATTCAGCGGCCGGCGGCGCATCGCGGATAATGTCAGAGAATGTCCATTTCTGGGACTTTGAGCAACTACTATGTGGACTCCATCATAAGTCACGAGAGTGATGAGCTCTCGGGCCCGGTCCGCTTCTCTGGAGTTCAGTACTCCGGCTCCGGTTCCGCGGCGGCGGCGGACGGACGGCAGCCCGCGCCCGTCGCGCACGCGGAGCACTCCCTCTCCGAGTCCTATCCGTCCTGCAGTTTCCAGCCCAAGCCGCCGGTCTTCTCGTCCTCCTGGAGCCCTTTCAGCGCGCACCACGGCCCCGGCAGCCTCCCGGTGGTCTACCACCCCTACGTCTCGGCCCAGCACGTCTCCTCCCCGGACGCGCGCTACATCCGCTCGTGGCTGGACTGCGTTCCGCGGGACTCGGACTCCGTCCCGGGCCAAAGCCAGACCGGGCAGGTCAAACTAGAGCCCCAGCTCAGCCATCCGGACGGGGAGAGCCCTCTCAAAGTCACCGGCCAGCAACAGCACGAGACCACCACCTACATTTTCGAGTCCATTCCCTCCGCCGCGCGCCAGCCGGGCCACCATCCCGCAGCCGTCCCGGGACCGGGGTTCGAGGAGAGTAAGGACGTTTGTGAGGGAAGTGAAGACAAAGATGGGCTGGATCAAAGTAAGTGATTAAAACAGGAAACAACAGACTGGGAAGGGGAGAAATGGCGTATAGGAGACTGTAACTGCTATTAATGCTGCCATAAAACCAGAACAAAGAGACGGAGCACTAAAGTGCTCCCGACGCCTGCTCTTTGATTTTAGGCGGATTTTAGCACGTACTTTATGACCAGCTGTTATAAAAACTTGGAAAAGTATATACACCAAACAGAAAAAAACATATTATTTTAACTTAGAGCGACGCTTTGCATAGTTTTAGAGCGTTATGCAATACACAATGCAGTGTACCTGCAAATGGTGTGAAACAACTTTAGTAAAGGTTCAAATAATGCACAAACCCTCAATAAATACGAAAAAGTGAGCACTCAGAATTTGCACCTGGCATTCTTTAGCAACACTTAACATGAAAATGAAGGAATCTGATTCATTTTGGTCTGTTATCCATAACTTCTCAATATGTGGATGACTACAAAAAACGCAACTTTACCCTGATTCCCAGTAATAAATATATTTTTTAAATGGAGATAATAATTGTGTAAGGATAAATGAGAATCTGTTGTCGTCACCGGTCGCTGCAGAAAACACAGAGAAAGAAAGATATGCAGCAGACTTGGCACCTATTTGCTTCCTTTAAAATGATTCGGCTATTAACACTCAGAATTTTGAGGACGGTGTCTGTTAGATGGCGGCTCGTTGTAAATACAGCATGTTTGTTCCTGTACGTGTGAGATTTGGAAAATCAAAGCCACCACTCCACAGGAAAATCAAACATGTGAACTAAAGCTTTCTGTCCGACACGGAGAGTCAATACGAGAAATGTGGATTTTGGTCATATTCACATGCGTTTTTCCTGACGATTAAATCACAGGTTTATGGAGCCGTTTCTCCCCCAGTCTGATCGGAAATATCTGATCCATCCATCTACTGGGAGAGAAACGCTTTTCCTCCAGAGGGGCTTCTTCAAATGGACAATAAGCACATTAATGCATGCGTTGTAAACAATAAACTGACAGCACATAAACACACACATACACACTCTGCCAGCTGTTTTATTACTTTTCTTATTTTTATTTAGGATGTTGAATTAATTTTCATTCATTGTATGCAGCCTAACTCCGTCCCTGACCCTGATCTTACCTCTTAGCAATTTATGGCTAAACGTTAACCTAATTTTTGGATGTCACACACTGGCGCGCGCGCGCACACACACGCACACACACACACGCTCACTGAACTTATTCATAACACTGTTTCTAGCCTAACTTGATCATAATCAGGCTTATCTATTTCAGTGGTCATATAGTGGAGTATTTGTTAAAAGCCTCTCATTTGATGTTTTTCAGTGTTTCTATTTTCTTGTAAAGTTGCAGAAAATGTTCCAAACTCTGGGTAAAGGTGGTTTCTGAAGTATACAACAGAGCCATTGTGTTGCGTCTCGCTTAAATCCAGCTGAAATGACTGCAGAACGGGTCTGTGAGGGCTCAGTTTTCTGGCCACAGCTTTAAGCATCACAGAATCTGGGGTGAAAACACATTTCAGAGCTGTGAGGTTGAAACCATATTTTAAGACAGATTTGTTTTGTTTTTTTCATGATGCTTTATATCTTTGACTTAAGGGTCTAAAAGCAGCTAACTTGTCATTTAAGATGCCATTGTTCTCTGTCATTTGTGGAGAGTTTGCTGACACGTGAGAGCTCTAAACTCCACAGGCCTGTGCATCATGTCTTCATCATCTCTTTTCTTTTGTTCAAAGTCTTTGGATAATTTCAAAGTTATAACATTTACTTCTCATCTTAAACGAGTCAGCAATATTTTTAAACATAGTTTCCAGGACATGTATAAGAATATCCACGGAACAGCAGACTTTTCTAAGCTCTGCTAGTGAACTTCTGATGTATCATCAACACTCCATTTTGATTCAGCATGGGGGCATTATGTGGTCTATCTCACCAACATCTGAAGCAGATCCAACGAAAATAATTCTGCAGTTTGCTTATAGATAAGTCACTAAGTCCTCATAAAGCTGCTGAGGGACAGGTGATAAATGGTTCTAGGATAAACAATGCTGTGATTTACCTTTAAATACACCGTTGGAAGCCTACTGTCATTAAAAGGCCTTTTCCCTGTTATTCCATGGTCAACTCAGTCATTTGTAGAAATACATTTGGTAGTTTACAAAAGATTGTAAATAAGATATGTTCTCATGTTTTTAAATAATTAAACATATGGGAAACATTCTGAACATGTAATCCTCGTGTCACAACACTTCCAAATTCTGACCACATGTAGTGCAAAAAGTTTCAAGAGATCAGAATAATTAGTCAGAAATACTGAGCTCTCCGTTTGGAACTAAAGCTATGATTGATCTTTGACTCTAACTTTTCATCTAGAAAGCAATATAGGTTACTTAAAGTGCTTTCACATTATCCGTGAAAGGACAGGTCCAATCTGAGTGACTGACATACCCAATCAAAATGGCTGCCACGTGAATAACATCCCTGGGAGCTTACCCTTTAAACATTTAGTAAAGCCACCAGCCAATTACAGATTTCTCTTTGTATTATTGGTGCTGGGCAGCCATCCAGAATAAACCACAAGATTACACTTCAATCTCTGTGCTGCTGGCGGGTAGAGCGAGAAAGTTATTACCCCCGAAGTTTATTAAGTTATATCATTGGAAGAACAACTCTATTAATTGGTAAGCTGCTGCTGGTGGCTGAGAGAGACAGGGTGTAAGAGCTCCTGTAGATAGGGGCTTTGCAATGGGCTCAAGGGTAGATAAAATACGATTGGTAAATGTAATAACATGCCGTTGGGATGTATGTGAGGTCAGTTTCTGAAGCTATTTCAGTAACATTGCAAAGGAAGGGCAAAAGGAGGAAAGATATGGGAGGTAATATTGGTTTTGCCTCCACTTTGGGCTCTTTTCCCATGGATGCTAGAAAGTGGATGCACAGATAGAGATGAACTCACAGGCAGTTTTTGCAGACTAACAAACCTCACATTGCTTTGGCATCTAATGTGCATTAGCATGGGCAATACAAACCTAGCTCATGTGAGCTTTATAATAGCATTCCCCTCCGATGGTTTTGCACCTCGTGGGGAAGGAGAGTCTAAAACCCTGACCAGCACCTCAGGACAGCAGCCTGCACCACCACCTCTCCCTGTTTGTCCATAGCTGGCTATTTCTGCGCCCTCTCCCTTTTGTTCCAAACCCAAATCTTTTAAACACATTGGTACTTTCTGACTGGGAACATCTTTGATTAAGAATCTATTCACATTTATGACTCAAAAACAGTCATCCTTTTGTGCTATGCTAACCATTCACCATCCACTTTTCTGTGCCAAAACCTGCAATTTTAAGGGATCTTTTCATTTGGTCTTATATGTAAAATAATTCTTAAAGAGAAAAACAAACTTAAAAGTAATTGAAAATAAGAAAATGTTTTAAATTATAAAAAAGAGACATGCACGCAGTTCTGAAGCTCCTGAATAGTTAACGTTAGAAGTCACGAGCAGAGCACAGTCTGGGTCGTCTCTGCGCCGCACATGTTAAACTCATTTTTTCTGAGGCATCTGAGTCTGCAACTAAACCCAGAGACGCCACCAAGCCAGCGACGCAGTGGCGACCCGGCAGAAGCTCATCAAAGAAGGCCTGAGTACAGAATGAGAACATGGGCTCCCATCAGGCTTCTGCTGTGAAAAAAGCTGATCTGAAATGTAGAAAATGAGTCTACATACTCAGTCTCACCTCCCACCATGGAAATATGACACCACCACAACAAACCCTCTGAAAGAGAGGACTGTACACCAGCTGGGTAATGAGGAGGGACTGGTGAATCTGCTCATGGGGCCACTACAGGCTGAACACGCCACAAAGATGGGCTTTACTAAATAGTGGCTCAAAAAGCCATAGCTGACAATAGGATTTGATATGGCAATCAAAGAAAACTGACAAAGACACCACGGTGGAATGCCATTCCCACAGAGAGACAGTTATAAGACAAGCTGCTGGGTAAAGAACCAATGGATGGTCCGACTCATGCTGGAATCCCTGAGAAAACCCTGTTTCAGCTTAAAATGAATGTGGGACCAGCACAGGTGTTGGATTTCAAGCACGGTGCATAGAAGCATTTTGCTGAATCGGCACTGAGGTATGAAGCTTTCGGAGTTGCCTGGAGTAGGTCGGCCCAATCCCCAGTCCGACTGGGAGTCTGTAGCTTGACTAAATCAACATGATACATCTAACATGAAAAGCTGGTTTTGCTCTCCATGTGGGAAAGCCATCGGCTCCCCCCACACCGTCCAGACCTGGGGCACAGCAGGAGTACATTCACGTCTCCAGGGGTAGCCGAGCTCCATTTATGTACCCTATATAGCTAATAACCGGATCCCAAGGCTCGCATTTTTACGTTTAGAGGCACTGAAAGATACATGTATGTTCCCAAGTGGTAAAAGGACAACGTAAAAGGGTTAGTGTGTGGTATATAACAGCTAATTTCATTTAAAAAAGAGCTCCACACAGTGCAAGCTATTGGTAAACGTATATATGCACTTTTTGTAAAACTTGTTCTTATTATTTTTTGTCTTTCTAAACTTCACCCTTTTGTTTCATTTTTAGTATATGAAGAAAAAATGGACATTTCGGTAGTAAATAAATCAAAAACATCAGTGGGATTAAATCTTCTGCTACTCGTATATTCTTATGTAATTTTGTTTTTTGCTATTGAAAACCATATAATTGTCATTTGCGTTTCATGATCAACTTCTTTCATGATTTTCTTAAAAAAAAGGGCAAAAGCATTATCGTGCTAGACCAAGATACTTGTTCAAAATTGAAAGAGAAGACGTAGGGAGTTTGAATACATCTCAAAGAGAAGCTTTACTCCATTTGTTCAACCTCGGAAAATAGTGTGGTTTGAGTTGATGTTCAAGGCTGTAGGCCACACTGCTCCTCACAGGGCTTCAGGCTTTGGGGTTTGTAGAGTTGTGGAAGGGCAGACTTTAACAGCTTTTATGTTTTATGCTTTTATCTTGACAAAGCTCTTTATTACAGAATTAAGAGCCATGTGTCAAGATGTTTGAGGTATGTTTTTGTCTTTTTGTAGGCATAGCTTTGATGTTCCATCTTTATTTTAGCCCTAATTATCTCACGCGATATGATGCAAAAGGAAACAGATCCAAAAGGCTGAGGTGGACTCCCATCAGACTGTGGTTGGGCTCAGCCTCAAGCTGTGAGGAGCTGAGCATCCAGGGGAGCATTCAGAGGAATATCTGCCCTGCTTCAGGCAGATACTCCCGATCAGGGATTGTCCCCTCAAGTCCGTTAGAGTGAAAATAGACCACCGGAAGATCATTCAGATTGTTGCATTCCAGATGGATGGTATGAACCCACTGCCTGGCTTTGCCACCTGATCCCTCAGGAGTAGTTACGTCAGGATATGGATGTCTGGGTTTCCTCCCTTCAAAAACCTTTGACCATTTTGACCTCCATCTTTTCCCTCAAAGAGCAAAGCTGGTCGACAAACACCAAAGACACCAAGAACAGGCCAGAACTCAGTTTGGTCCACATGTTCACAACACTGTGCCAAAGTGGGCTAAACCTGTCCCAGATCATCAGGGCGACGCCAGAAGACTTAAAGCCAATGCTCCAACTCTTAACTGGTGATCAGCAGAAAAAAGAAAGCATTTCTGGTAGTATAATAAAAGATTATATGAAGTAAAAGAAAATGTATTAATAAATTATCTTCTGTCAAAAACAAGAATACATTTAAGAGACATTAATATGCTTACAGTATATTACCTACAGAATGCAGGAGGATAATTTTCTATAAACAGCTTATTACTGTTATAAAAGTTGTTGAGTTGCTATTATAAATGGGACTTATTCTATGGAGATCATATTACATTCCTTCAGGCTAAATGAAAGCTTGGAGATAAACATAAATGAATAATCCCAGAGACACGTACGGTGGCAGTGACAACCTAATCACATTCACCCGAATTGAATTCTCAAAAAGCATTATTACGCCTGTAAACCATGTCTGTCGCCTGGGTTAGAGCCTCTGCTCTGAGGTCCGGGCTGGGTGAAGGACTGCTGAACGCATTACGCCGTTGCTGTGCACCAGAAACGAGCTCATGTGCGCGTGTGTGTGACTATGCTCGTGTTTGTTGTCGTCATTTCCATTTTTCGACGCTGCTTCATACTTTTAATTGTCAACACCCGTTCCCGGTAGGGTCGCGGGGGGCTCGAGCCTGTCCCAGCCTGAATCATCTTTATTAGTCACACAGTGTCATTTAGCAGGAGGATACAGGCCACTTCTCATCCCAGAATGGCTCCCTTGAAAATTCTGGATAGGGAAGTCTTCTCCTTATTCAAGAAATAACTCTCCGAAAATGTAGAAATAAAACCGTCTCACACCGTAAGTGGTGATTATTCTTCATTTGATCGGGTTTTGTTTGCTCGCTTGCGTTTCGATTTTGTCATAAGTTTTGACACAAGCCTGAAAATTGCTCTGACTAATCAAAGGCCAAAGAAAACGGGTCGGTCTGGACAGGCTGCCAGCATCATTTTCATCCAAATGCCACTAGGACATTTGGTCCCAGCAGATAAGGAGCAGCAATCTGCTTTTATATCAGATTCACAAAGGCACAAATGCGCATGTCTGAAGCTGGTTTAAACAGGAATACGTCACTTTTAGAGCAGAGCTTCATTATGTAACGTTTCAGAGACCCGATGGAGAATGAGATTAACTGATTGTTCTTATAGTGGTTTCTCTAATAGTACTGCTCAAAGAATATGTATTTAAATCTGTCATGTGTCCTTTTGGCTTTTGTTTCTCTTAGTTCTTCTTCTTCTCTTTTTTACAGATGACCCTTCGGCCAACTGGTTGCACGCACGGTCCTCCAGGAAAAAACGGTGCCCGTACACAAAATACCAGACCCTGGAACTGGAAAAGGAGTTCTTGTTCAACATGTACCTCACGCGGGACCGGCGGCACGAGGTGGCTCGCGCGCTAAACCTGACGGAGCGACAGGTCAAAATTTGGTTCCAGAACCGGAGGATGAAAATGAAGAAACAGAGCAAGGACCACCTTAAGGATTAGGGGGAATCGCGTGCACGTGCACGTGCATAAGCACAGTGAAACACACATGGACACACTACGCAGCGATGCGGGTGGAAAACAAATCCTCCTGCGAAATCCAAAAATATACACGCACAATAGCTGTTCCTTTAGATCTGGTTTACGCGCACGTGATCTTCAGCTCAGTCTCACAGTGCGTCACAGGGTGTTAAACGGAAGGCAGTACGGACCCATTTGGTTTCTGTTGTCCCTGAACCCATCAAAGCTGTACAGTAATATCATATTCATACATGAAGACAGCACAGAATATTTATGTCACGTTCTGCGCAAATCCTGAACAGACACGCGCACGCGTACTGTTCCTATTTCCCCCAAAAAATTAAACAAACGTAACCGGTTTACACCTTAACACACACGCGCACTTGATTGGTTCTGTTATCATCTCCAGATGTGTTGTCTCTGGGTGTTATACTGCCAGGTTTGCTTTTTAATTAAGGCTGGTAGCACACAGGACGAGAGCCGTGGGGGGAGAGATTTATTTGGCCATCTCTGTCGACGTAGGAACATGGTGCTGATGTTGAAAACAGGCTCAAGTGCACGAGCTCTCACTCAGAATGGGGTTCATTCTTAGTGACGCCTCTGTTTTTATCTTGCAAGCATAATTCCGTAAAAGACACCGAACAGAGGAGCATCCACTTCTGTTTTTTCTGTTTTGCTACGCCAGTCTGATAAGGGGCAGCAGGATGTAAACAGAGCTCATCAGTCGGGTAAACAGTCCCCAAACTTCCACTTCATCCATCTTGACCTTACACCTTTTTGCTGCTTGGACAGTTTCATCCATTCCGCGCCACACATGCCAAGAACGAACACCGTATCCGTCACTAGGTTAACATACTGTGCATTTAGAATTGAAACACTGCTTATCAACAGTGGTCCTCCTATCGGTGCCATCCGGTCCCTCTGATAAGAGGAAAGCACGGCATGCTCTAAGGTTGCCCTACGCGTTTTTAGGACCAATAAAAAGCGCTTCAGAGTAGACTGGCCCGCGCAAAAAGTTGATATTTGCATCTTTTTATTAGATTAATTATGTTATCCTAGTATCTTGCGCGCATTTTCTCAACTGACAAAATAGCAGCATCCATCGTCACGTGCATTAAAAACAGAGTAATAATATCCATGCTTGCGCGTGCGTCGGCTCTCAGTGTGTCCTTCACTTAACTGGGCGACTTCGTGTTTCTCACTTGACAAAGTCTAGGTTTCTTTTCCTCAGTAGAAAAACGTGTTTATAGCCATCGCCCTGCTCCGGCTGCTAGCTGCTCATCAGCGCGCGGACACGGCTCTGTTCACACGCACCGAGCCCGTTTCCCACCAAGAAGCTACAAAGAGACATTCCTGGATGTGATTAAGTATTTATCACATTAACTTGGGTCCATTCTGGGGGGTCAAATATTCTGTCACATTCAGGCTGATCCTACCAGTCCTCAGAATTAGATTATATCCTCACTCTATTTGTTTGTACGCTTCTTTTTGCCTTTACCAGCTCTACCAGACTATTATCTGCTTACACTTCAGTTCATGGAAAATGTTTATTGATCTGGGAGTTGAAACATAAAGAGACCTTATCTGAGGATTTTCCTGGACCAGCGTTATCTGGAGCGCTGGCCTTGCCTCGGGTGGCGTCCGGTGGCAGTTTTATAGACATATAATAAAAGATAGGTCAGTAGTTACCTCCGCCTGCGCGTGTCTGTGTGTTGCGCACGCGTGCGTGTGTGAGGGATAAGGATGCGACAGACGGGTGGGGAGCCATTCGCTCTCTAACACGGGTAAAGCCTCCAGGTGTATGATGTCTTTTCACATTTTGATAAGAGCGACTTTTTTGTTTTTTTGTAAAGCAGCATTTAATGCGTGGAAGACGTTTACATGGTATTGCGCATGCCTCAAGTCGATTTTCAATTTTGAAGACGTAATTTCTTATCTCTTGCGTGCTGAATCTATCGGAGGGTATGACAGTGTTTGCTGTTCCCGAAACTGATAGACATATATAGAAATAGTTCTAATTTATTGTAGTGAGTAACCTAGTCTTTCTTATTGGAATGAGTTGAATTCGCTTAATATTGTTTTGTCCCTTCAGACATGATATGTAATACAGATGATTTTTTATTTGATCTGCAATGCTCTCTAAAGCTCTTTTTTTATATCTTGTGTCATTTTAATGAGCTGTTATTGTGCTGATGTCAGTCCAATAAGTTATGTGTATCCTTAATTGTTAGCAGTTCAGGGTTAGACTTCGTCTGTGTGCTGTAACGGGCTTGTTCCAAATGGAAAAAGAGCTCAGTTTGTTTCTTCCCCTTCGGATTTCCTCCCGTTTCCTGAGCTACCCTCTTTTCTGCAGAGCTGGTGGAGCTTTGCTGCTTATGCATACAGCTCCACAACTTACTCTATTTCCACTGTGACATTTAACAAGACAAATCCAAACCATGTGGTCGCAGTGAGAGGTCTTATTAACGAGCGCGAGAGCTCCAGTCTGCTCCACGGTTGACGTCTCCTGTATGTTCTCCTCTTCTCTTCCCCCGTGTTTTGTTTTCCTGCTTTGTGTGATGACCCTGTTGGCTCCTATTAAAGATCCAACCTCACAGCCTGGCCATGCGTCATTTCTTTATGCTGATGAACAGTGTTTTAGGAGAAATTCTAAATCCACCAGGGTTTCCAGTGGCATTTGAGGCATTCCGTCTTTTCTTTTAGCTCCAGAGTGAATTGGATGTCTGTGGGACAAATGAACAGACGCAGAAAAAGAAGACGACAGAAGAAAGGGTGAGAACGAATCAAATGAGCCAGCATGTGTTTCAAATATGTCTCTTCAGTAGTACACAATGAAATGGCGTCCGTATGGCTGCGACACCAAAAGCCTATCATAAACCCATAAACAGCCCCCACCGCAGAGACGCGCATGCACGCGGGATGAATGCATTCATGGGGCGCGTCGTCATCTGTCCCCGAGGAGTTAGAGAAGCCCTCCGCGGTGCCTCTGCCTGCTCTGGCCGGAGCTAAAGGATGTTTCTATCACCGGTCTGCACACATTCCTGCAGCCAAAGACAAACTATTGTAAGAGTGCGTCAACGTGGCTCTTTTGGAGTTCAGGCACCGAGGAACAAAAAGTCAAACTGCGCATAAAGAAGGAGGCAAACGCTCCGAGATGCATCAAAACTGCTCGAAACGTAGGTAGTCACTGGACTGAGTGCCAGTAGCTTAGAGGTTATATATCAATTACAGCTTTTTGTTCTGGGTACAACAAGAAATAATGGACATTTTCGAAATTCGGAGGAAATGGATCCAAATGATTTCAGCTCCACTCCAAAATACTCACTTGATTGTTTCAAACTTCTCAAAATGTCCAACAAAAATAGAAAAAAAAAACCCAAAGACTTGATTCTGACTATAATATTATGAGTATCGATTATCTCAAAAGGCAAAACAAGATCTGGCGAGCTCTCCCCATAACGGACAGCCAGCTTTTATGTACCCTAATAAAGCTGTTCTCTTTGCATAATGCGTGTGTTATCTCAGAAAGAGTCTGTGTTACTACCTCTGTACAAACCTTCATCGTTTAGGACTCTTAAGCTCAGTATTCAACATGTATTCTACAGAAATCTTCACTCAACGACCTCCAAAAATGACGAGCCCTCATTTCCCTGATCAGCGCATTTATTTCTCACTGGAACTTTCTTTTCTTTTCTTTTGGTGTGAGTTATGGATCAAAGTTTGGTTTCTCTGACTTGAATTCTCAATCTTAGTCATTTATAATTTAGTCACAAATATTGAGGCCTGTTTCTGCCTTTAGAAAGCTTTTATCGTTCTTCGAGGTACGCTTTACGAAATTTCCAACTTTAACTTGAACTGTTCCTGTCTGTTTGATTTGACTTTGTTCATTTTACTCACAAAAAATCAAAGCAGAATGAGCATTCCTGAGGAGTGGTGCGTTTTGTTTGGGGCGGAGATGGAAGTGACTGAGATAAAACGGGCTCATGACGTTCAGACTCCTGTTTTCCAGATGCAGGCCTGCTGTTCCAGGAAAACGCACCCCCGCGAGTTTTTGTGCCTTTGAAACATTTCTACATAGCTCATTTCCTCACTTTAAGGCAATTTTTTAAAACTCTTTTTTGTCAGAATTTTTACGATAATTCAAAGAAGTTTCTCAGTCTGAAAATTGGTATTTTAACATTTTTGGACAATTGAATAAATTCTATTGACCGATTATCTTGAAAGCAAATCAGTAAAATGAGATTCAGTTTTAATTACAAGGAGGAACAAAATCAAAACAAAGTCATCAATAGCCTTTTTTCTATCACTAAAAAAATCAAAGACGCTCATGGAGAAAAGCACGTGGTGACAACATGGAGACACTTTTTATGCCTCCAGCTCCAGTGTCTTTAATCGTGCACGGGAGGTTTTTTTCTGCATTTGGCTTTTTATAACTCCGGCTAAATATTCAATACTAACTTTGGTAACCTTGGCCGAATAAAATGCTGATAGATTACAATTACCAAGCTTTATTTAAGAGTTTTAATTTGGATTCTGCCTTATTTTAGCTCACATGGACAAACGAGCATTTTCAAAAAGTATTTCTAAATCCACAATGATTTGAAAGCCAGCACACCCGCTGCGTTTCCTTTTCAATAAAAACAGGCACTGCGCTATTTACCTAAAGGACATTTACTGGCAATGAAGAAAAAAGAAAATACTCTGCTGTGGGTATAGTGCACAAACTCTGCGGTTAATATTTTTTTCGTCCATTTCAAGATGTATTTCATCATTTTCTACATCAATAAACAGTAGAAACATCCTTTTGGTTTCCTCACAAAATCTCATTTTCTTTTATTCCTTGTTTTTTGGTCCACATGAGCTCCTAACAACTCAACTCTTTATTATGCTTGTGTCCAAAACATAATAAACGATGTCAAGTCATGTTTCACTATTTACCTCAATTAAGACAAGGCTTCCCTGTGAGTTAGCTGGAGGGAGAAAGTCCCAGGAATAAATAGGAGCCCTTGGCTACATGGAGATAAATCACAGACTGCTCCTATAGGTGAGAAGCCGTTTGGTTTCAAGTTTTCAGCGCCAGCATATGAATAAAAGATGGGAGCTGTGCCACAAAGAAATGAGAAAAAGTGTAGAGAAAAACAGCAAAGGCGTTTGGAAATGACTGAAGGTCCATGTTATTCCTCCAGCAGGATGATTTTCAAACAGGGTCTCACATAGAAATGTATTAAGAGCGAAGGAAAGACGGAGAAAACTCCTCCAAAATGGCTTCTCTTATGGAGTGAATATTTATCGATCAGTCTAAAACCAAAGACGGACTCAGCAGAATGTTGGACATGAACGATGTTCATCTTTCTTCGTTAGAAAACATAACCTTCAATCATCAAGGAGAAGTCATTTTTTTTCCCTTGAAATCTTCTACAACCTCGTCCTGCTAAGAACAGAGCCTGTTTCTTCTGGCGGGTTCAGAACAGCTCGTCTTTGTGCTCCACTCTCAGGGACTTTACTTTCAACAATCAGTCAAGCAGCAGGGAGTCCCGTTACATCATATTCATACTTCTTTTTTTAAGGCGGTTATAGCTCCGTAATGAAAACGGTGGCGGAGGCCAGCGTGGAGTGTCTGTGCCGGGCTGGAGTCAGAGCCATGCGCGTGACACAGAGGGCTGTGTGCGCGGATACTTCTACATAAACGCAGTCAAAATGAATAACATTTTATCAGTGACTGTAAAAAAAAAAAAAAAGGAAGGAGTCATAAATGGGAAAAGGCAGCCCCCTCTCTGCCATGGCCGCTGTCCTACACACCTCCTATTTCCAAAGCAAAGGAAGGGCGCGCGGGGCGTTTCGCGCGTACGGGTCAAAATGGAAACCTGAGCGCAAAGACGGATGTGGGCTCTCTGTCGACGGTCATAAAAAGCGCAAAGAGCAAAACGAAAAAGGAAGAGCAGACGAGAGAGGGGAGAAGAGGATCCAGTGCTGCGCGGTGCAATAAAAGAATATGACGGCCATAAAAGTTTATAGCGTATAAATTTCTGAAGGTTAAGAACTAAACGGCTGTAAAGCAAACACGCCGTGAGAAAAAAGGGAGGGGGAGAAAACCGTCCAAGTGAAGGGAAACGGAGAAAACTTTTTAACCCTGTGCTGCCCTCCGTTCCCAAATGCTCAGAAGGGGAGTAAACGCGCACTAACGCCGCTGTATTACACATGGAGGGAAATAACAACCCCAGCGTTTCCAGAAAAACTGAGAGGAGTTCGAAAAGTTCCCTCCTTCCCTCCAGCGCCGCAGGTTTTATGGTTTTGTTAGGCCCGGGATCTATAGGGCTTTTGCAGACTGGTTTTGTGTGCGTCCTGTCTCCTTTCGACCTCTCTTTGTCCCCCCCACATGCCTCCCAACAGCAGGCCCCATTAACTCTCACGCCAAAAAGCATCTCTAACAAAGAAGACCTGCGCTTATAGGCCAGGCCGCGGCCGGCTCTCAGGCTGCTTTTCCGGCTCACAGGCCAAGCCGGAGCCGAGAATCTGAAAAGCGGCGCTCGACCTATTTGGAAAGATGCCGGAAAATCTAGAGGGTTGCCCTTTGTTATTTCAACCGCTTTTACCGTGGCAATAATAGATATCCAGATATATATCTCCTAACATTCTAAAGATTTCCCTCTGTGCTGTGGCCTTTGCAGCGTTTTACTGTTTATGAGGCCTGCGACGTCCAATGTTTCACAGCGATGAAAAATCGGTTTAATTTGATGCAAACTGCCTTTCACAGACTTAACAACACAATGTTTGCTTTTAATCCAAATAGGTTTAGTAAAAAAAAAGACCCAATTGAATTGATTTCAGATTCTATAACGGTTTAAAAACGGAAATATTCATGTGAACCTACTTAAATTGTGTCCAAACTTGGATTTCAAGAGAAAATATTCAAATTTTCACATTGCAAGAAGGTTTTCTTGTAAGAGAAAATGCTACTTCTGTATGTGATTGACCCTCAACGTCTCAGCTCGTGCCCTGACCTTTGCTGGACTGGTGCTGACCTGTACCTGCCTGCTGAGTGAGCTGAGTCCACTCGGCTTTGCCCACACTTCACAAACCCGTTAGCACGCGCAGTTTCCAGCGGCAACTTTGTTTTAAACAGTTTAAACCGCGCGTGGGTGCGGAGCAGCGCGCTGCAGCCAATCACAGCCGGCCTCCTGAAGGCTCGCCCTCACCGCGACCGGCCACTTGATGGCGGACTTGCTCCGTCCAAAGCAGCTTGTGGCTGCGTGCGTCATGATATGCAGGGGCCCCTTCAAAGGAAATAAAGTTGTCCTAATTACATTGTCCAAATTGTAGGCGCTGTGCTACGATGATAGATGCTTTTGGCATTTTACTTTAAGATATCCTGGAATTGAAACGTGCTTTAGGTCCTGTTAGAGCTCCACAGCAAGCCTGGGAAATTACGCACAGATTTATCAGTATGTGCTGCCTGTACGGTTTTACTTTATCAGGAAAAATCACATCAAGCAGGCAGACACGTGACTTTATTTTGTGTCTATGTGATTAACAGACTTTGAGGGTTTGACGGTGCTTGTGGAAGAAAAACTGGTACTCGATCCACTTTCTCCAAAGGGGGAGTCATGATCGTTCACAGCCGTGTTCACCTGTCAGACTAACCTAATCCTCGTATTTAATAGGGATGGACCTCGTTTCGTTTATAAAATGTTATGAATACGTTTCCCGTCTCCGTTATCCCCCAAAGTCCCAACAAACGTTTGCTTTTTAGTTGTGTTCTGATCTGACAGGAGGCTTGTTTGGAACAAAGTCTGATGATAGAGGAAAAAACTACGCGAGCCTTTTAGCAAATCTAAAACGCAAACTCTTTTATTATAAATGGAAAACATTATGCTGTAAAGGCTCAGCGTAAATAAAATCACATTATCCGCAATGCATGGGGAAACAGTCCAGAGTGTGTGTGGTGTAAATTCCAAATAAAATAATTGAATTTTTCGGAGAAATTGAAATAAAGAAAGGGGATGGCAGCCCGGAACAGACCCGACACAGGCTGTCCGGGAGTAGACTGCTGGAGATGTTGGAAAGCCGCGTTTGGAATTCTGCTTTCCTTTTATTTTTGTCTGTTTTTGCATGAAAGATCAGCTTGTTTTTTAGTTTTTTGTTTGTTTGATTTGACAAAGACCGGACACGGTTCCTACGCTGTTCTTCCCTTTACGGCCTGATGACTGACCAAAGCCAGGCAGAGGGAAGAGGAACACTAACGGTATACTCCTGGTCCTCTCCGGCCTCAGAGGGCAGCGCGCGCTCAATGCCCCCCCGTTCTGTTCCTGTCTCAAAAAGCCTCGTCTGCCTTTAAGTTTTGCTCTACTTTTCCAAACCAGTCATCCTCCACGGCCCTGCTTACAAGTTTAAGGGAAAACCTACAAGTAAAAGTAGGCAATATAATAAGATCCAGCATCTGAGCCCCTTTAGTTTCTCACCAAAGGCCGCACAGCGCGTGCATCTACAGCCGTGCCAAAGCCACCAGCCCCAGAGGCCCCCCGCTCCTCTCTGTCTGAGCTAACGGAGGTTCCTGACAGTTTCGGGCCTCATTCTGCTCGCTCCCACTCCAGATTCGCCATCGCCTGTCAAAAACTGAATGGAGGAACCGAGAAAAAGGCCAATTCTATCCGAGCCGCCGTGCGCGCGGCGCGGGCCGCGTGTCTGACGGCGTCTCTTTCTTAGAATGAACCCTAAAAACCTTCCCAGCTCCCCAAAACCCCTCTTCTGTGACTTAGTTAGTTCAAAGTGCGCGGGAGTTGGTGTGCACGCGCACGGGGTGGTTTACACTTGATCAAATGCAGCGGTAGAACTCTCATTAATCCCCCAACTCCTCCCACTCGTCTTTCCTCGATGCAGCTCCTTCTCTCCTTTCACACACCTCCTGTCCTCCTTTCTTCTCTTCCCTCTTATCATCTCTTCGTGATATCACACGCGCGCGGAGCTCTTGGAGTCGAGACAAGGGGATTTTCTTCCTGACTGGGAGGCTCGTGTGGCGCAAAGAGGGGGAATGTGGCACCGGTACTGATTGTGTGTGTGTGTGTGTGTGTGTGTGAGAGAGAGAGAGAGCGCTCCTTCTTTCGTTTAATGGGATGTAGAACCGATACTGGATGCAAACTACTCCTGAAAGAAACACGCATACACACACAAACACACACACGCACACACCGTGGCCGACAGACACAGAGGGGGAGCGCGCGAGAGAGGAAAGGGGAGAGAGAGTGAGAGAGAGAGAGTGAGCGAGAGAGAGAGAGAGAAAGAGAGGGGGAGAGTCAGACAAATAGAGAAAAATATGAAACAACTTATTTGCAAAGGACTAAATCACGGAAAAGCCATTTGAGAGCGCGACAGAGCCACCGCGTAACGGCGCCCACACCGTGATGTGCACGAGCCTTTTCTCCAGCCTGCGCGTGTCCCTCCTCGCCGCCTCTCATCTCCGCGTCCTCTCGGCGGGATTTCTTATGGAATCGGAGTGATTGCGCCGCGTATTCCCGCTGTGAGTGCTGGAGCAGTGGCGGCAACGCACGCACCGCAACCCGCCGTCTGCCGCGGCTCCGTGGACGCGCACCGCGACGCGCAGCGGCACGACCCGCGACCCGCGCCCCGTCTTTCCCCGCGCGCGCAGGGGCTCCGTCTCACAGCGCAGGCGAGAACTGGCACGATAAGAGAGAAAAGCACGCGCACGCAGTCCGACAGCCACAGGTCTCCAGCCCCGGTCCGCCACAAACGCCACCATGAGCTCTTATTTCGTCAACTCGCTCTTCTCCAAATATAAGAGCGGGGACTCGCTGCGTCCCAACTACTACGAGTGCGGCTTCGCGCAGGACCTGGCGGCCAGCCGGCCCACCGTGGTCTACGGCCCGGGCTCCGGCGCCACCTTCCAGCACGCGCCGCAGATCCAGGACTTCTACCACCACAGCTCCTCGTCGCTGCCCAACAACCCCTACCAGCAGAGCCCCTGCGCCGTCACGTGCCACGGGGAGCCGGGCAATTTCTACGGGTACGACGCCCTGCAGAGGCAGACGTTCTTCGGGAGCCAGGACGCGGATATAGTTCAGTACAGCGACTGCAAGCTGGGAGGCGCGACGGGACTCGGGGCTGAGGACGCGGAGGGGACCGAGCAGAGCCCCTCACCCACGCAGCTCTTCCCGTGGATGAGGCCGCAAGGTGAGCAGAAACCGGCGGCGGGCTTACTTTTTCACAAATATTTAAACGAGCGTAATAAGAGAGCATCTGCCGGTCCTCCGGGAGGGCAAGATGGAAAACACGTACACCACCAGGGGTTTGGGCAGCGGTGGCACACGTTTGGAAAAGTATTCTTCTGCTCTAATTCACCGGAAGGGTCATCGGAGCCCCCCCGCCATTAAAGCAGGGAACGCTGGCCGTTTACGCTCGGCTACAGCCGCCAGTTTTATGAAATAATAGCCGCCAGAGGTCCAAAGAAAAGATTCAGACAGATAGATACAGAAATACAAACAGGCGTATATGAATGAGATGGACAGAGAGAGAACAATAACCCCCCCAAACACACACACACACACACACTCAGACAACCCTGCTTGGAGCACAATGACCCAAGTTGTAGTTTGGAAGCAGACACGTTTTTGGAAATCCAGTCATAGAATTTCACAGCTTTATTTATTTTATTTTTTTATTGGCCTGCCGGTGGCTTTGAGCTACGGGTTGATGATTTAGCTACTAAGTGCTGGCCATTTCCCACATAAATATCTGGTAGTTTGCACATCTGTGTGAAAAGAAAGAGGCAAAAAATGGAATCCCCAGATCAGAGACGTGATAGATCCTTTGTAGTTAATTTAATATGTTCCTTCTCTCTGCCTATACCTAAACACAAGCAAACACACACACACACACACATATATATATATAAACACATATTTGTATAGTCCAGAATTATATATGCATGCCAGACATGGCGGAGGGGAGGCGGCAGCTGCGGGTGGTCTTTGTAGGGGGTATTTAACATGTATGCTGCGTATTTATGTACGATTTTTGTGCTCCGTGCACACGCGTGCATGTATGTATGTGTGTGTGAGAAAGAACAAAAACTACACACAGGGTTGGGGGCGGGGCGGGAGTTTTAGGACGTTTCTAAAGTTAAACTCCAACTGAGTTCTCCAAAAACGTTTGGTGACGGTCTCTTTTAAAAAGGCCACTTTGGGGTTGTTTTTGGAGAGGAGCGGGCTGTGGAACTTTGCTGTGGGCCACCTCCACGCGGGCGTGGGGCCTCACAACTGACGTGTGTGACTTCATTTGTTCCCTGTTCGCCTGCGTTTTGTTGCCTTTATTAAGCACGTCCATGCGTGATAGGAATGTGAAAGGATTTTTTTTTTTTTACCTAAATGAATCCATAATAAGGAGGTTTCCTGGGGCGCATTACCGTTTCCTAGTATGTCTCTTTTTTTGCACGTGTGAGTTCCTTTTTCTTCCCACCACCCAAAGGCAAAGGGACAAATGCTGTGTGAAGTGGTGATTCTGCGTTGATAGTCGGAGTGATTGTGAGCGTGCATGTGTTGTGCCTTAATGAGGAGCATACCTGTGCACAGGCTCGATACAGCACAACAGAAAGAGTAGGAAGGGAAGTTTGGGAATGGCACGCGCAGCTTTTTGTCCGCGTGCCTTCTAATGGAAACGATATTTTCTCCTTCCTAAAAATCCCGTGTCAAGTTCAAACGACTAGTCTACAGCAAGTTGAATTAACTCATTTATTGTGTCGTCTCGGCTTTTGCTTTAGTTTATCCTTTTAATTAACTTTGCAGGTGCTGAAGATAATTAAGAGCGAAGAGGTGAAATCTGACTTGAAAATAATTTATGTCCGTAACAGTAAAAATAAGTCTTCTATCTGAAACTATTCTAAACCTTTAATATTACAAGATAAATGCTCCCCATCCCGCTTGTTCCGAAGATCCTTTTTATGAAAATAATACGTGTGTGCACTGAATGTGGGTCGTCTGTTGTCATTTTCATTTCATCCTGTCATTGGAGACGTAACGTGATCCAAATAAATCAAACAGGCAGACGTATTCAGTTTCACTAGCGCATTTGTCTGCTCCTATAACTTTCTCCTGCTCATCATAGTGGGAAGATCTGCGCATCGGGACGGTGTTTTGTTCCAAAGAAAAGCTGCCGGCTCATGTCTTCTGCCAAAATCCATCCACTGATGGTTCCAGCAGGCGTTTAAAGCTTTAATGCTGTTTACCGTGTCTGATACAGTAAGACCTATTGCCAAATCTTATAGTTTAAACTTAGCCAAAACATTTTAAAAATATTTTTTTGTGTTTTAGTTAACAGCAAGAATGTGCAGAAAATATCGATAAAATTATATTTAAAAAACAAATGAGTCAATTATCTATTTTCTTGACATTCTTTTCAGGGGTCAAAGAACGACATCGGAGGAAATAAAATAAAATAGATCCTTTTCTTGGGTCAAGTTTTATCTATCTTCATTTTTTGTATTTTTACACAAAACTGTCACTGGACATTACGCACATTAAGGACGTCATTAAGGACGTCATTCAGATAAAAGAACATGATCATTTCATTAATTATGGATCACACAAATAATTCATATGTATCTGAATATAATTATTTGTGTGATCCATAATTAATGAATTGATCATTTTTGTCTATGAATAAGCCAAACGCATCGACTGACTGCGTGACTTTCTACCGTCAGTTTCATTCAAAAAGTCAAAAACATAAATACCTTTGTACACTTATAGATTCAGTTTATGTCACACTGGGTCTATGGGGGTTTTCCGACACAGCACACACAGACTCTGCATACTGCATTAAATATTTATCGATTAATAACCTAAGTGCCATCAATAAAGTAAGTATATTAAGACATATAGTAAGCATATCCAGCATGGCCTGAATAATAGATGCATTCTCTTGGTGTGGAGGTTGTAAATCCTGCGGTTATGACAGTAACCATTCCGGAATGCGGTGTTGTTAATGGTGCGTCCCTGTCTCCCCTCTCCTTCTCCCTCAGTAGCTGCGGGCCGGAGGCGCGGCCGCCAGACCTACAGCCGCTACCAGACCCTGGAGCTGGAGAAGGAGTTCCTCTTCAACCCCTACCTGACCCGGAAGCGGCGCATCGAGGTGTCGCACGCGCTGGCGCTGACGGAGCGGCAGGTGAAGATCTGGTTCCAGAACCGCAGGATGAAGTGGAAAAAGGAGAACAACAAGGATAAGTTCCCCAGCAGCAAAAGCGAGCAGGAGGCGGTGGAGAGGGAGCGCAGGGAGAAGGAGCTGCGGGAGGGCGGGGGGGGCAGCGGCAGCGAGGGCGGGGGGGGGGGGGGGGGGGGGGGGCTGGACGGGACTGGACAGGGACTGGACATTTGCGATGGGTCCGGTTCTGTGTAGTCTAGGACCGGAGACTCGATTCTGTTTTCTTATTGAGGCCACCGTGCTGCCCTGCTGTCTCACAGGTTCATCTGGCGAGTGTCTCAACCACCATCAGACTAAAGGGGCCTCCTGAAGAAAGAAAAAAAAACAAAAGATAAAGAAAAAAAGTGACGGAAAAAGACACTAACCCCCGGTCACAAAAAGATAGCGTCCTTTCTTTGTGGAACAAATGTCGTGAAGCATTTCTATATTGGTAGAGGTTTATCATTAACAATTTCATCTTTGGCAGCTGTATAGTTTTTAAGTTAAAATGATGGTGCACTTTTTACTGTAATTCTCACTTCAATGGTGTTGTTGTTATGGTAATTATTCAAGATAATTATAAAAATGATGAAGTAGCAATTAATGAAATTTCCAACAACATGAAACTGCCTATTTATGCCGTTTTAGTAGGTTGGGTCTCTTTTTTACACTATCTAACTGTAATTTTAGTTCCTTTTTGACCTGTGTCAATGATGTTTGTTTATGTTGTATTCCTATCTCTTTTAGGGTAAAAAGCATGCGCACAGTGCAGTTTAAAAAGAGAACATTCATAAAAATAAAAATGACTTTAAAAATGTCAGCATTCCAGACTTGGTTTGAAATTTGGATAATCCTTTCCTTTGCTTCTTTTTTCACGTCCACTTTCATCCTGTTCAGCTTTGGTTGTGTATAGTGTAACCAGGATCAGACCCCCAGTAGGAATAAGAAGATAAACTGATGTAGAGGTCTATCCAAACCTCATAACTTGTTCTTCATTATCTACAGATCTATCATACACCTGCACGTTCACCCTTATTCCAAACACTGAATAACTAAAAATAACCAGTTTATGTTAATTACACAAAATCCCCAAACCATGTGTGTGTTCTTTGTAGTAAATGAAACATCACTCTATTTACTGTCTCACTAGTTTTCCATTGTATCAAACACATTCATACTTCCTGAATGGTAAGGTAAATTATGTCACTGACTGTTTCTCAGTCATTGCCTTTTTTTTCTTTATAATTATTTCTTCAGATGACTCAAAAACTCCTGAATATGACACAAAACCGGGCCTTGTCCTGTTTGTTATATCTATCCTACATAGGAAATACACCATATTAGAAAGACAAAATGTCAATGTCAAGTCTTCGGGGGGGGGATTAGGGCTTTATTTGTTGGAGCGTGTAGCACTGTGCTGTCAACACTGGGCCTTTGTTTGATCCCAGGTTACTTTTTTAATTGGTTAGGGGTAGAAAATTATTATGGTTAGCTTGGAAATTTATTCTGTGTCAAACTTGATTCCTCCAGCTATTGCTGGCCTGGAGGGGAGGCGGTTGTATTGTTTCTGGGGTTGGATAGTTTTGCTTTATGCTTATTTACTGCCTGACAAAAGTCAGAAAAATACATTCAGTTGGTAAGAAGTGTGGAATGTTTGATGTCTGGATAGAGAGAATAATGAGTAGATTCTCATTGTGTGCCCTCTGAATGGATTCAGTATTGGTTGTGAGGAATAGACGGACACAAAGCAGACTTCGATGGTTCTTTGCCATGAAGGACATGAGTAGTATTGTAGATTTTTATAAATATATGTGTATTTATATTTCCATGGAGAGAAGCAACACACCTTAACCTTTTACGTGTGTGGATGAGCTCCAAACTGGCTTCTGCATGAGGGCATTTGTGCCCTCTCAGCTCCTCTTGAAATTAAATTTTACTCGCTCAAATCTGCCTGACCTTTGATAATTAAAGGCTGAAACAAAGGTCTGCATTGACCACCAACATTTTACGTACGATCACACAACAGATCCATGTGACTTAACCCTTTTATGCATGATTTCTGATCATTTCAGTGAGGATTTTCAAGTGTTTTATTTTATTTTATTAAGGCATAAAAAAATGAAGACATTTGGCAAAAATGTGTACATTGAAGTATTTTTCCAATTGTCCACTCAGACAGCACACTTTTTAAGTCTTCTTACTGATGGATGAATGGTACAACTTGAACATAGTTGACATTTGTTACCAGAATGCAGAAACAGAACTTTGCATGCAGCTCTCCTCCTGTTCTAATATCCATTTTCATCTTTTCCTTCTATTCAACCCATTGATGTACTTTAGTCTGTCTCAGCTCCTCTTTTAAAATTTAAAATGTATTATTGCATGAAGCACCAGTGTCCACTTCAGTGGTCTATGCATATTTAAAACATAAAAAAACATATATGCACAAGAAAATGGCTTCTAATAGCCGTCCACTGTGGAAACCGCCATGCATTCAAGGATTAACTTGACAGTTTTTACAGGAGCAACAGGCTGTTGTTACTGTTTAACTTCTAAATTAAAAAATTACTGCTGAAAACAGCTTTATGTCAAATGCTGCCATTTTCCTTTTTATAAAAATAGCATTGATCAAGATTAATGGATTGAAATAATAGCAATCAATATTTCAATTGCATCAGATCACTGGTGTTGATATTTCCTGGTCACCCTCCAGACTACATATCAGAAAAGAGGAAAAAACAGTGTGGTGAAAACAAATATTTATTACATAATAATATTATATAATATTTTATGCATAGATGTGTAACTCAAATATGTCATGCTTCCGCTGCTAAAGAAAGTAAGGAGCACAGGCATCTAATTAATTTTTAACACCAAGTCACATCATATGAAATCTTTTACCACTAAACAATACAGTCCAATTCAAGATAATTGGAAGCAGTTCACTGTAATGCAATTGTAATCTGTTAATTCCACTTTTTGAAATCATGAAATAGTTCAATTCATCTTTAGACCATGAAAATTCCCTGCTAAACAAATCAGTGCACATGGCGACTGTGGAAGGAAACATCTCCTTTCTAACAGGAGGAAACCTCAAGAAGAACAAGAATTTCTGCTTCAACCCGCTGAGGTTTGAGAGAAAAGAGAAACCACAAACAGGAGAAACTCAAGAAATACCAAAGGCTAAGAGAGGAGCTATTGAGGCCAAACTGGGGAAGTGCTTCCAACAGATCCCAGGAACAACATCTGAGATCTCTGTCCAAAGGCTGGACGGCTGTATTTTATACACACACAGTATCTGCTGATTGTCAGAGTGGATGTGTTGATGGCTCAGACTTTGTTTTGTCCCATTCAGCTGACTCTTTAGGACCTGCTTTACTCAATCTAGGTCCTCAATCTAGGTTGGGTCTGACTTGGTTGCGGCCTCCTTATAGTTGCCCAGCTATTATTTTGCCACCCTCCAAGTCTGCTTTGGTCCCTTCTTGTTATTTTGCTCATTTTAATCCTGATCATGTTATCCGTCTTTGATACCACTGGGTTACATTTATCTTGTCCAAATTCCATCCCCATGTCCTTGATGTATATCCCAGTGAGGCGCACCGGTGAGTTCTTGTTTTGCTCAGTTGTGGCAATTGGCTTTTTTTCGTCCCTGTAGATGTTGTAGTATCTGTAGCTGCTGCACTGCAGTCCCAGCATCTCCAGCAAGTCTTTTTAAGATGTGATGTTGCTCCTAATTTCCCTCTGTGCACCCTCGTGCATTGAGCTATGTGACTACTCCGCTGGTCCACTATGAGGCCCGACAGGAGCTTCTATGCCGTCCAAAAACAGGCCATTGGCTTTTAGTTGGACAGAATTTCTCCCGTAGGCAGATCTTTTGTTTTTTGGAAATTTCCTTAACATTGTGTTAACCAGTTGATCTGGGTCCAGTGCATCAGCACTTGGTTCATCTGTGCTGTTACAGCTAGTCCAACTCATCATAATTGAGACTCCTTCTTATTGCTTTTTGACACTGCGATGGTCTCTGGTTCTTTTTCTTGACCTGGTTACGATAATATTTCCATTCATTGCGCATGGCGTTCCATACTTTAAATACAACAGCCAGAATAACAACAGATTTAAGATTTAGTGGGGTGTTTTAAACAGTGATAGCTTGCCAAAAAATCCACAGTTCATCATTAAGCTGGATATAAAACCTACCACGGCTTAAATCATCCATGCCAAAATAGGAACTCCATGAACTCTGTGAGCTGCTGTAAACTGACTCTCAGGCCTCCCAGCTTCTCTCCTTCCAGCTTTAATACCTAGCCATAAGTACAGGTTTTCTCACATTAAATAAGTATTTGATGATGAATGCGAAAAAGAGCAAGTAAAAGACGCAGTGAATAATGCCTAAATGAAAAAAGACAAAGTAAAATCCCAATGAAAGGACTAGATCATGGCTCACAACATCTGTGGTGTAAAAGCAGATTTTTTTCCCCTCTGGATGTGATGTAATCATCAGTTTGTAACTCTTCGTAAAAATACTGTGACATTGTTTCTCCGTCTCATTAACTCATTCATCAGCTCAGTTACCTGAGGTCTCCTTCCTTAGCAATGAAAGCCACAGAACACCGACTATAAAGAAGAACTGCTGTCTGCTGTGCATCCTTACTGCTTCTCTCTGACTCCTTTTTCTTCTAGCACTCATTTGGGCTAACTACGAGGAGTATTTCACCACTGCTTTAACTAAACAGGCAGATAATAAACCATTAATCAACAAACACTGGTGACATATTACACTCATGAAGCCTGCCTGTAAAACTCTCTGTAAAAGTTTAAAAGCTCTGGATATGGTAATTGCACTTAAAAAAAACAGCGGGGCTCAACTACAAAAAAATTAGAACTATTTACATGGATCTTTTTACGTATTTCCAACTCAATTAATGCTGAGTAGATAATGTGGCTTTTCCATTTGGACAATCTATTCTTTTTGAATGCACCAAATATTTCTTTCCTTGAAGCTTGAAGCTTTATATGTCAATGTTGCTTTATTATTATTATTTTTGGGTGAAATGAAGTTGCTAAATTACGTTTCTGTTTGGGCATTTAACAGACACCTTTATCCAAAGCCACCTAGCATGCAGAAACATTACAGCGAGCATCAGCCTGATGATAAGCTGCGTAGAGGGAAACCGGCAGCCAGACTCCAGAGGCAGCAGGCTGACATGTAGAGACAG